GTGTAAAGCAACAACCATTCATGCAGTTAATGACCTGAGTACTTCAAGTCCTGTGCAAAAACGCACAATCGCACGGGCCCGCCCGGTACTTTCCAGCCTGGGTTAATTATGGTGCGAAACAGAGCTCATGGGGAGGGGATACGGAGGAATTGATCGGGGGCGCAAGCGAGGGAGGGGGGAGAGGCAAGTTGAGCGAGAGGCCGACTCTTGGAGAGAGGTTTCATCTCGGCGATCTTGTGAGGCAATTTGCCCCTTGAGCTTGGAAGACATTCTCTTCTACTCGATGATCTTGTGAGACAGCTGCTGACCTCTCGAACTTCGACAACGACAGTTTACTTCTCGACGATCTTGCAACGCGGTTATTGGCCTCTGGGGTTTCGACGCGCTTCTCGACGAATGTGTGAGGCAGTATTTGGCTCCTGGACTTCGACGGCAGACTTTATCAACTACGACAGCTGTGGATGTATCTGCCCATGCCACAGCCATCCCTATCGATAATCAACTGAGATTCTGGATATGCTTTTGAAATTTACCAAAAGATCTATCGCTGCCGGAAAGCAAACTAACAGACGATGTAGCACTGGTCAAAACAGTCATGAAATGAAGAAAGGAAACCCCAGACTGGAACGGATCAGGCTTGCCGGTGCGATCATGCGATTTTGCATTAAAGCAATTAAATCATCACACGTATGAATGGATGCTGCTTTACATTTACTTTTTGCCTTACAAACGTAAGGTACCGTAAACTGTGCATAAAGGAAAATGAAAAATTTTCGTTGAATTGTCGTTCTTTGAAATGATCTAGCTATTCAATGAGCAATTTTTCCGTCAAAACTTATAAGTGTCCGCATGTGAGCACCAGACATATCTAAGGGCTGGAAATCTTTAAGTTATACTTGAATAAGGAGATTCCGTTAACCAGCTTTTCTGGACTCCGAGTTAGCAACTTCCTTGCCAAAATTTCATGTGCTCATACGTGGGAACCACGCGCATTTGGGGGCTGAATTTGAAATCTTCAAGTTATATGTAGACGGCAAAATTCCCCTCAAAATTTCAGACTTCCAGCTTTTCTGGTTCCCGTGCTAGAAATTTTCCCGCCAAAGCTTTCACGTGCCCGTATGCGGAAATCAGACAGGTTGGTGTTGCGACCCGGACGCAGCACTTGACAAGGGAATCCACTGGCAAAATTTATGCGCCGAAGCTTGCTTAGTTGCCGAGCTGAACCCAGGCTGGAATGCATCAGGCTCTCCGGTGCGATCACGCGTTTTGCACTAAATTCGTAGATCGCTATTAGCAGGAATGATCCCTACT